CTCTGGCTCTTATTAGAGCCTGTAACTACTACTTGCAGGTTAATCATTCACAAAGCTGTGAGATGGAGTGGTAAACCTGCACAGCCTGGTAACGTCTTACTGAGGTGGTGTAGACACATCAGTGGAGGCAAGGAACGTCAGAGAACAATCTGTAGAGCGCTCTTCCAACTCAATTATTTGAACCCATGTCAAATAGGAAGCAGGGGAGTGCAGAAGGCAGACTGAACCTGGCAGTAAGCTAAATAAGGGTCATGTGCTACAGGAATTCAGGTGGAATTTTTGCCCTGGAAGAGAGGTTTTGAAAGCCAGCCGACTTGTTGAGGACAGCAACAGGAGCTCCTGACATAAATAGCTTTTCCCTCTTGGCTGTCTGCTGGTGGCCTATGACTTGTAACTGCGCTGAGACCCTGCCACTCAACAGGTGTGTCCCCATTACACAAATACATGCAGTTGGTCCTTGTGTTAGCCATCCCTGCCACAGGGCCAAGGTTGAACGTGGGGCTTAGCTGCTGTGACCCGTTTGTTCCTCTGTATGACCCTTCCAGTCAGGCCTGAGGCAGGCTGGTGACAGCTTTTATGCAGACAGCAGATTTTGTCCACAGAAGAGATTTAGTCTCAGCAGGTTTCTGCAGACTTGCATTTCCAGATGAGCTCTTCGGTACTTAATATGTAGCAAAATATGAAGGACTTTGGTAGGTTAGGATGTCCCATGCAGCTGGGAAAATACACAGTATGACATGTTGGTGTTATCTTCTGTAACATGGTATCTGTTGTTGCAGGCAGCATTGTTTTGGCACATGCTGAAATTGTAGACAGGCAGTAGAAATCTCCCTGGGATGCAGTAAAGCACAGAAGCTCTTGCTATTGCAGAAATACCATTTCTTGTGGCAAAGGACTTTGGCTGGGGAGAGGATCATTGAAGGCAAAAACCGTTGGAGGTGAAGCTTTAGAAGGAGATGTGCTTAGTCTCTGGCTGAGTGATTCTTTCGTTGCTTTCTTTTGAGGCCCAGGCCCGCAGCTGCCATGGTGGCTGAGGTCACCTGGGTCAGTCGTGCTGGGGGGGGATAGTCCCAGTCTCTCACTTCAGCATCTGGGAAGTGGGCTCCAGAAGGAATATTACATTTCTTTTGGTAACTCTGCCAAGAAAGAGAGGAAATCCATAATTTGAGCAAAATACTTTAACTTTTTTTGTGGGGCAGGGTGAGGTAGGAAGGGGGAAATGAAAAATCCTTTATAATGGGTTGCTTGGGATGGCTTTTATCCTAGAACTCTCTCGGGCTGTGAGAAGTGTTCAGCTTCTCTTTCTTAGTGTAGCAAAGCCTTTGTAAAGGGAGCTTCCATCAGTAGTGCATGCAATTAGAAACATGTGTTAGCTCAGGTCATGTATTGCACTGTATGGCTTGGGATCCTGATAGTGTGCTTTTTGGATTAATTAGCTAATAACAAAGATAACCTTGCATGTTCTGGATCATGTAACTTTATCAGCTGTTGATAATTGTGGTGCCCTAGCAGAGGTGGTAAAATGATGGACTCTGATGGGCTTTGAGAACATCTTGCTTGAATTTTGTTGAGTTTTCACATTCAGTGTTTGCTGGTTCCTTCATCCTGTGTTTCCTGTCATCCTTCTGGGATGTTGGGCTGTACTTCAGTTGCTTTCTGGTGCAGGGCTGTGTAGGTCCTGGTAAAAATAGCAATCCTGTCTCAGTGAGTCAGCCTTCAGCAGTCTTGAAGTTCACTGTTGGGTGGCTTCCCTGAGAATGTGAATGCCAAGATCTTGATTTCACAGAGCACTTAAGCATGCACTTGAATTTTAAGCGCGTGGCTTAGTATTCTGCTGGATTGCATGCTAAGAAAGGTCAAGGTATTCATTGGCTGGTGGATAGCAGTCTCTCCGCAGCATTTTGCATAGCATTTATCTTCATAAGGTGGTTTAGTCTCCTGAATCTCTGGATGTTCGATCCAGAGGTACTTGGTTAAGTCAACCAAGCGTAGATGTGTGATGTCTGTTGATTGTCTCAGGTCATCATGGAACAATTCTTAAAGATTTGCATGTATAGAAAGTGTGTTGATCATGATTGAAGCAAAATAGTCTTTGTTAGGGGGGAAAAGGATCTTTTTTTAATCAAATGATTAAATTTATATAGTGATGTCATTTTTAACTTTCTAAGATTTGAGAATTGCTCTTGTGCATTGCAGTGATGCTTATCACCTTTTTTGATGTATTCTGGGAGTTGCTCTGGGGGGTGCTGTTGAGGAACCAAATCAAATTGTATCTCAGCACTTGATTCCATCACTGCGCTTGATTTAACTTCTCTTCTGGTGTAGATATTGATTTAACTTCTCTTCTGATCAGATATCTCTGACCAACACTGGAAAATCATTGCAGTTCCATCTCTGCTGCCCTGGTATTGGCAAAGGGGTATCAGTCCAATTTCTACGTCCCCTTTCTCATGGCTTCCATATGTTTGATCCCCTTTCTTGCCTCTGTTTTGGACAAATAAAATCTCTGGTAAATAAAAGGTGGATGCTTCTAAGGCATGTTTAAATTAGCTGGATCCAGAATTGCTATATGGAAGAGGCAGGCTGGATGTGTAATAGGTCTATCAACAGTAAAACAAACAAAAAGACGAAACAAATAGAACCCCCCAAAACCCCACCAGACCTCCTCCATATAGTCCTCCCCACCCAACCCTCACCCCTTCCAGACAGGAACTGTTGATTCATGTGGAAGAATTAGGTGTCCGTTACAGGAGTAACTGCAGTAGTGAACTGGTACTCTGGGTCGAGCCAATGTGGGACTCTTCTGAAATTCCTCTTTCAGAAGCCAGAGGATCAAGGCCTGTCCCCTCAACTAGAAAAATGACCAACAGTGTAAGATGGAGGCTGCTTTTTTGACCTTGGATTCGCCTTTTTCAGAGCCTTGGAAATTACATCTAGTCTTAGTAGGGTTTGAGTGTTCAGCTCAGGATGTCTGGTCAGGCCAGTACATGTTGGGAGGGGGTTGTGGCATGAGTGCGTTTTCCGTCACTGTGCAAGCTGGTGACTTAAAGTCTGTATGTGGGGAGAACTTAACTGAGGGTTGAGTGTGGGGAGGAGAAGTGTTTTTGGAGTAATGAATGGAATTGGATGTAGGCGGAGAGCCTCAACTCTGTCTGGGAGAGTAATAAGCAATGAGGAGGCTGCTGGACCTGACCTGACTCTTCAGTGCTGTGCATTCCTCATCTCAGATGCTATCTGGCCCCATGAGCTCCTGCAAGTGCTCCCTTTTAAAAAAGGAATTCCTCTTCTTGCAGCCTAGGCTAACTCTGTAGTTTTGGTTTGTTTGTTGTTGTTTTGTTGTGTTTTTTTTTTTAAAGGACTACAAGAAATAAAGAGCTCATGGCTTCCTAAGTTCATTTTTATTTGGTGTGACTCTACTGATCATAAACTTATAGTTGCAAAGCTTTCTAGGGGATGAAAAGCTTTTCTATCTGTGGTTTCTGTTTTTGTTTAAAATGGGTCACATGCCCAGGAATGCAGTCAAATTATAATGGTGACTAAGTGCCGGAAAGCATAGAAAAGGGGAGGGAATGGTGAGCAGAAAAAAAGGAGCCTGGGGCTATGGAAGGAAGGCTGGGAAAATGAGAATCTGGCCAGGCCCCAGGGCCAGGTTAGAGATTCCTACACCCATTAACAACCACAGGAGATGTTTATTTACAGGTAGCTAATCTTTGTTTTAAAAATGACAGAGTACCCAAAAACCCCACTTTTGGGAAGAGGGTTGGGGGCACAGTAGGGATGGGAGGAGGGAACTGGTTCTGATTGGTCACCAGTCCTCATCTCTCAAGATTCTTCCCTTCATCCCATCCATCTGGGAACATTGGCTGTTGAGAAATGCATGAGAGGGGGATAAACTCTTGTAATCTAGTAGGTGGTTCACAACCCCTAGTTACAAAGGATAACTTCAAGAGTTTCTTCTTGTTTGTACTTTTCTGATCTTTTCTACATTAGCAGCTCCACCAAGGATTTTGAATAATTAAGTTTATGATACAAGAAAGACGGGAGCTAAAACTGCCTTTCCCTCCCCCTTTAATCAACCCTGGATCATAAAAGCACAACAGATGTTGAGCAGCTGCTGGAACTGGGTATGTTCATGTAGACTCTAAAGAGACCTTGGTCCCAGGTCTCTGTGGTACCTACCTTTTGTCACCTCTTGAGCTCTGTTGATCCTGGCTTGTCTCGGCTCGTCCTAATAACTTTGATTTGTATCCCAGCAACTGCTTATGAACTATAGTCTCTCTTTTAGTAACTTTGACTGTAAGTAGAGAATTTTCCAGCGAAGTGGTGGAATTCTCTATCCTTTGGTGAGCTGCTGCAAAAGATAGTCCATCCTGGGGCATGTGTGCATTGGGTGGTTATACAGATGAATAAATTTTATTTTTAGTTTGAACATATCCTGATTTCTGATCATTGTATCTGGTTATGCGGTGGTCAGGTGGATGAAGGTCTGGAGCAGTTTCTTTACTAGTCTTCTGACCAGACACAGTCTTCTGGCTCCTGGTTTCAGTGTTCTCCTGACCAGTGTTTCCTCCATCTGTTCTTGTACGGTGGTGTCCTTGTTTTAACTGGCTTTCTTTAGTCTCTATTAGAAGAGTGATGTGCTGTTTCTCTGGTTGTCCTGGTGGTTTTGTTCCATGTCATCTTGTCTTGATTACATTTCGTCTGAACCTGTGTTGCATTCAGTATATAAGATCAGGTCTTGATCAGACTTAAGGCTTGTACACTAATGATCATCCGGGATGGCTTTCTATGCTGATAAGCACCCACTCTGCTCAGTGTTCCTTTCCTGTCAGCTCTCATGAGTGTGCTTGCTCTAGCGTGATTCAGGCACCATCGGTGTTTGCCAGTTCATCCTTTGTGGAACCAGAGTGAGACAACACCTGTGACCAGCTTGGGTGTATTAATTGTCCATATAGCATCAGTCCTGGTTGCTAATCTCATCTCTCTTCCTCTGTCTGCAGAGCGGCTGGCATTCCAGTAAAGGAAAGGGTGAAAGTATCTCAGAACTGGAGGCATGGACGCTGCCGGAGGGAGACGGTCCTGAAATGGAAATGCAAGCAAGTGACACCATTCTCTTCTTTGTTCCATGTCAGCTGCTGTGGGGCCTTGGGTTTGTGTCTCTGCCCTGAAATGAGATGTTTCCTTCTCCTTGTGGTCCACAGAGTCTTACAAGTGATGTTGCTGGTCTGTTTTGGGTATTGCTGGCTAGCTGGATGTGGGGTAACTGGAGTGGCTGTCTCGCCCTGGGGATTCATTCTGAGAGCTGAGAATTGCTTTCTTAGTAAGAGCTTGAATTTGTGCAGTTCTAGTTGGATTCAGCAATCTTTCCTACAGACTTCAAACTGTTATGTTCCTATCTATTGCTGTGTACCATGAGCAATTTTCTGTCCTGCTGCCACAATGAGCATACATTGATCCCAGACGTGGACTTATGTGTCCACTCAAAATGCTTAGTTTGTTTCCCATGCTTTGTCCTGCCCCCTGATTTGGATGTACAAATCTAAAATGCTAATTGTCATTCTCCTACCTTATACTGCTTCATTCTCCTACCTTATGCTACTCTCCTTCACTAAAAAACCAAAAGTATATTTGACAATAATGAGAGGAGATTGTTGTTAAATGTTTGCTTGCAAAGGTGTACTCAGCTTTCAAAGCAAAGCATAAGATAGATCTCTTATCTGAAGAGCACACCTAATTCTTTCGCCTTCACATCGTCAGACAGAAGGAAAAATGAGAAAGACTATGGTTTGTTAGCTGCTGAAGAACAGGGACCTGCTACTGAGCTTTCATGCCTTTTTGTGCTGTGTAGATTGAAGTGGTGGATAATGTGCCACTGCTTGTGTGAAGTCCTGGGAACAGCTGTAATGAGCAGAGTGGTTTTTGGTGCAGGTTGTATACCTGCCTTTGAAGTGCTTGCAACCATCTGTGAAGACCGGCTCTGTGGATGTTAGAGATCATTACTAAACCAGCTTCCCAAGTGAAAAGGCAAGGACTGATTTAATGAGGCCACCATCCAAACGGCATCCTCTAATTTTCATTTATCCTGCTTCAAATTTGTTGCTTCTCCTTATGAAAAAGCCATAGAAAAAGGTAAAAAGCTAAACTGCAGCAGGAGGAGAGCCATGGAAACTGGCTGTAGTCTAGGTAAGCTGGATATTCGCTTGCTTTTAGAGCACTGCGTAGGAGTGGAGGAAGGAAGGGGAAATCAAAGCCCACCTAAAACCAAAGCTGCTGCTCCAAAGATGCCTTTTATTTTTTCCATGCATATGATCAGGTCCCAGATGAACATTATAATCTATGCTCAACTGCTTTGTCCGTGTGACTAAAAGCCTGTTATTGGAGATGAATGCAGGCAAGCAGGAACTTTCTATCTAATAAGCAATCTTGTCCTCTTGCTTGTTTCTAGTTCCTCATTGTGATGTTAGGAGGTGTGGCTGTATGTAGTGGCTGTGCTGACACAGAAAATCATGACCTCTGAGGATGATCTGCAAAAAAGAGGGAGACAGGTTTTTATGAGAAGCCCCCCTGCTTTCAAAACAGTTTGTTCCAGAATAGTTTGAAAACTGAAAGGCTGCTCTATGGAAAGGCTCTGGTTTTGCTCAATGTTTGCATGGGTATTGGTGCACTCAGCAATGAGTGCAGAGTGGAGACAATTTCACTTATCCATGCCCCACAGGACACGAACCACATGTCTCTTTGTATCTGGCCTTGCTGTATCCAGGGGGCCTATTTGCTGATTCTCTGGTGGCCACACAAAAGCAGGAGCTTGAGCAAAGATCTCACTGCCTAAGTGTGAGGTGTAGCCTGTTCTTTCTGTATTTTGGTTTTGTTTTAAGAATGAACTTCTTGTGATGACAGACTTGATTCAGACGTTGCTTGAGTGTCTCCTTCTCAGTCCCCTGGGAAGTGAAGCATATTTTCCACTTGTAACTTCAGTCTTCAAAATACTTGGGAACAGCTCCTTTGGCAATCCACTGCTCTTGGCCTGGAACCTGTCTGTAGGAACTTGCTGCTGTCCCATAGATAGCAAGGGGCAGAAAGGGTGTATGGGCTCTTCTGAAAGACAGGCAACGGAAATCAAGAGGTTGCTCTACAGTTGCTTTTGGCTCAGCAGTGGAAGAGGTGTGAATGTGGAAAAATACTTCCTCTACGTGATGAGCATCAAGTTCTTGGATAGCCTCAGGCTTACGCCGCTGCTTTACTTATCGGCATATAGAGGATGCAGGAGGACTTTCTGTCTATAGGAAGACTTGTGTTATTGGATGTGACCTGCTCCCCTGCTCGGATGCGTGTGAAACAGCAGCAGCTTTGTGGTCTCTGCTGGGAATCAGCAAATAACGTCCAGGATCAAGACTGACTGTTTGCACTAAGAGCCTGATATTGAAGGCTCTGTTAGAAATGCTCAGCATAGCTCGCAAATGCCTGATAGTCTAGTTTCTTAAAAAGTACAGGTCGGTCAGAGAGCCTTAAGTATTTCCTCTCTAAACTCACTAGACTCTTGGCCATCTTCTCTTTCAGAGATTCCATGCTTCCTTTTCTTCGGCTCTTGGTTAGAAAAATGCCAGCAATGTGATCTGCTCTGCATGTTGCTGGAGAAGCTTCAGTTCTTAGCTATGGTACTATATTAAGCCCTGCTTTTGCATGTGACCAGCAGCTCCAACTTCACAATTTTTCTGAGTGGGCATTTGCTTTCGTTGATATGTTTACATATACAATCTTTTTTTTTTCTTTTTGTGTGTGAGACTTTTTGTTTTGTTTTCTTCTCCCCACTCCTGCACCCTCCACAACCTGTTGTCTATTTGCAGTTTGATGCCCTGGTTGGAGCTGGATGGCGAGTATCTCTACCTGTCTCAAGCAGAGAACATCCAGGCCTACCGGCTCTGTCCGGAGGGTACAGGTTTGCAGCGTCACCCTCAAGCTATCTTCTCTGGACACCAGGAGGACGTATGTCGCTTTGTTCTTGGCAACTCCCACATTGTCAGTGGAGGGGGGTAAGTTGGGTGAATTGAAGGAACCCAAGGAGCGTGGCAGAGAGGTTGGAAAGATTTTGTGTTACTCCAGCCCAGAGCAGAGGGATCAATCTTGCTACACCATGTCCTCGTACTTGGCTGTGTTCAACTGTTGCTGCTGCCTTTCTTATGATTTGGTTCTATCCTGAAGAAGCTTTTGCTACAACAGTGGAGGAGCTGTGTCTCATGCTGTTGACCTTATAAAGTGTCCTTTTCTCTTTTGAACTTGTGTAGGTGTCCAATCAGGCAATCCAGACTGATGTGTAATTTTCCTTTCTTTCCCTGTTAGAGTCAGGGTAGCTAGACTGTATTCTAATATTCAGAACTGCTGGTTAACTGGGACCACGGTGATGCATAAAGCTTTCTAGAGACAAGTATATGTTTGTTAGACCTACTGATACAATTGTGGAAAGGGGGAAATCTGCCAAGCATTCCAGCACACACACACTTCTCCAATTAATTTTGCATTTGATTGGCCTTTTTCCATTACAGTAAATGACAGAATGGTTATTTATAAAGTTTTAGCTATTAATATACACAGCACATAAGTACAAAATTGGGAGATGCAAGCATGGCTGTCTGCCCTGGATATCTTGAGCCTCTCCCCTGTGAACTGTAGCCCAAAATTCAGGTGAAAATGAAGGCATGCATTTTAAAATTCCAGTAACTGTATTGGTTGAAAAAAGTCTAAATGTCTTTGTGGTTAATTCAAAGCACAATACCCTGCAAGGCTGCTCTGAAATGAATGAAAAGCTGAGGCTTGGACATGGGTCAGAATGACCTCTCACTTGTTCCCTTACTCCAGCCATTCAGAGTCCAGCCAGCATTCTGGCAAGCTCAAAGCAGTAGGAGGTGAAATGGCTGCTTTGCTAGTTTCTGCAACTTAACACAAAGTGGAGGGTGGAAATATAGCCAGGAAAATTTTCATGTGTGGCAAATCAGGCTTTGACTGGCCAGATGTGGGATTGCAAGAGAACAGGTGATGTGTGAGGAGTGGAGGGTTAATAATTCTGCATAAATTTCAGCTCCCATGAGAGATCAGTCCTGGTCTTTTGTGGCACTCTTAAGCGCTAATGGAAGGTGCATGTGCAAGGGAGACGCAGATGATACAGACTCCCTGCCTGGGGATTTGTTTTTCAGAGATGGAAATATTGTCCTTCACAAGATCCACGGGTCCTACAGTGTCAAGTTCTCTGCACATGAACAGGAGGTGAACTGTGTGGATTTCCAAGGTGGCATCATTGTCAGCGGCTCCCGGGACAGAACAGCAAAGGTGAGCAGTGATGTTCCAGCAGCTGCAGGTGCTGCTGCAGAGGTGATCTCAGAGGTCTTGTGCCATGAATGTTTAAGTGTCAGCAGAACTGTTGTGAGCCCTGTCTTGTGTGTCTGCAGGAGGAGCACTGGGTATCCTGGCTTAGGCTCATGTCTCTGAAAAGATGCTTGCTGTGCCAAGCTTTGAAGAAAGAGATTTGGCAGTACTTTGACTTCAGCTGCTGGTTTAAACTAGGAGGTGCAGAAGGTGGCAGCTGATCTTTCACTGTACATCTGTCTAACACTGTAATGGAGATCCATGCCAGTTAGTCTGAAACTTGATGTATGTATCTCAAGCACATCCTTGCTTTGTAATGTAGTGCTGCTTCACATGCTCTCTGTTGTATAGTTGATTTCTTTAAGGGATAGCATGATATCTTTTCCAAATCTGTGGGGTTGTGGTTCTTGGTGGGATTTTTTTATGGTTCTTGGTTTGCAAACCAGGAGTGAAGTTACAACTATGAATACTGTTAGCTCCCATTTTTCTCTTCCAATTGGCATCACTGAATCCTGTCACATAATTTGTGACTATTTCTTTTCGAGGCAGGACCTTGTTGATTTTTGTCCTTCTGGATCTGATTGGCAGTGCTGTAGTCCTACATGGACCTGGAGAGTTGTTCTTCTGAGCTGTAACCAGCTCTGTTCTAGTAGCTTAGGACCACGTAGGTGTTTCACCCCTGTCCTGTTACCATGATGCAGTACCCATGGTATCTTCACAACCACTTGTTTCATTGTTGGAAGTGGTTGCTGTGTGTTGAAAGCTTTGGCTGTTGCTCAGAGTAAGCTGATGAATGCTCTTGGTCCCTGGTACAGATCGTAGAGTGTTAATGGAGGTAAGAGGAAAAACTGCTATTCCTGTTTTGCAAGAGGGGAAGTTGGGGCAAAGAGAGACTTAGCTGTATCTTTCGGGATTTTCTAGGAAGTGTGTGGTAATAGGTAACTATCTGGCAGACTGCTGAGCAGAATGACCCTATCTGTTCTTGTTGGTCTCTCTGTATGGGTGTACTCCTGGCTAAGATCACTCCTAAGTAGAGCAGTCTTTAGATGCAAAGGGCACTGTTGGGGATGCTACTCACCTCCTGGGAGCAAGGCCTTGATGCTGCTTTGTCTCACAATTAAGCAGGGCTGCTCCTCTCTCTTCTGTGGAGCCTCTTTTCTGGGAGAGTGCCTTCTTGCTGCTTTCCTGGCAACTGGAGGACAGACCTCCCCGACCTTGAGAACAAATTCCTGAAGGCCAGAAGGGAATTTAAGGCTGTTTTTCTTGGAGCTAGTGTGAGACCTTGCCCACCCAGTGCTCCCCACAGCATAGGCTCTAGGGATGCTCACCTTTTTTTTTTTTTTTTTATCATCTCTTTTGTAGGCTGCCTTGTTTGCATGAATGAGACTCTTGGAGGGTGGAAGGGAATCCCTACCAGCCTTTTAAAGGGGCTCTAAGTGTCTAAGCTATTGAGGGCTCTGCTGAGTGTTGATTAGGACTAAGCCCTGAAGAGCTGCTAATGTACATTCCTGTGTGATAGGCACCAGATACTGTGCTCTGAGCAATATTTTTAACCTGTAGGAGATAGGGATGCCTTAAAAGAGTTAAGCTTTTCTGCTGCTTTTGCTGACACTAGGTGCTAAATTCCCCGCTGACAAGAATAGCCTGCAATCCTGGGCATTATCAACAAACAAACAAATAAGGCACTCCCAGCTTTGAAGTCTTGAAGTGAAACATTGGGGGTTGGTTACAGAGAACTGGGGTCTCGGGTGCTGTGGGCTAAGAACGAAGGCGAGGTGGAGAAAATGAGGGCCACAAGCAGAGGCCCCAGCAGCAATCTGGGGGGCTTTATTAGGACCCAGAAACAAAGAGGTGTGTGTGTGGTGAACTGGTGGAAGAGGATGTGCATGTATGCACTGATGGGGGAGGGAAGAGTTTCTCTCACATTGTCAGTAAGCAAGGGGGGCCTATTTCAGAATAACCTGGGGAACACTTAAGAAACTTGGTCGAAAGGGAGTAGGTTTATAAAAAAACCTATTTTACAGGATAGCAAATGATTAATTTTATAGATAATAGGAATGGAAATTTTTCAGGGATGATACAAAGTCTTCCCACGCTGTTCAAGAGAACAGCAGAGATTTGAGCAAATCCTACCTCTTGTTTATTTAACTACAAAAGATGAGAAGTCTCTGTGTTGAGTGCTGCCTTAGAGAGCATGTGGTGATGGGGGTGCTCTCTCTGTTACCAGTGGGATGGAAGGTCGTACTTATAAGCTGAATCTTTGTGTAACTTTAAGTGCTTGTTTCTGCCAGTGATTGAAGGCTCTGCTCCTCAAAAATAAGTAATGGGAATTCAGGGAGAGGATCTCAGGGAAGGTGAGCGTAGCAGTTTTGGCAGCTCTTTCAGCACAACGTTAGCAGCATGCATCCTACCTTCTGCACCTTCTGGGTGATGTGGCATAATGTGCATCTCTCTCTTTAGGTTTGGTCCCTGTCCGCAGGCAGAGTTGGGCAGTGTCTACATACAGTGCAGACAGAGGATCGAGTGTGGTCCATTGCTATCAGCCCATTATTAAGGTAACTGAGATCTCTTTATTCCCAATTTCCAACAGAGAGAAGTAAAGGAGCTGGATAGGCTGTGTGTCCGCAAATCTCTCCGAGGCACCAGTGTGACACTTCAGGGACTTGATTTGGGAGAAGGCTGCTCAGGTACTTGCTGGCAGCAGGAGCTCAGGAAGGAGTGTGTGGTCTTTTTTCCCCATAACAGTGGAGTAATCCACTCATAAAGAGGCTGTGAAAATGGCCCTGTGTTCCTGTTACTGTCTCAGGTGGGACTTGTTCATTCTTACTTGCAGAGTGAACTTTCTGACTTGCTAATTAGAAGTCATGAACTGGATCATCTTGAAGTTTTCTGTACTGAAAAGATGCCAACTTGTATTCTCATTCTCTGGCAGAAGAGATGCCAAGCAAAAAGGTTCCTGCGTGGGAGCTGGGTGCAGTGGTTCAGGCTCAGTTTTCTTTGAGCATGCTGAACTGGGAAAGATGGAAGTGGAGTTCAGGGGTGAGGTTTTCCAGCCTCTATTGCCTGTAGCCCTGTGCTTCTGGTGCAGGCATAATGCTGCAACTACAGCTTCAGCATGGGAGGCAAGGGCAGTACCTACACCAGTGTCTTTCAGGGTGTTTTTCAAAGTGATCCTGTTCTTGAGGAACCGAAAATCTAAGAAACTTAAACTCTTGCTGTTAAAATCTTAAACTGACCAGCAACGATCTGTCTCTTTTGTTCACTGTTAAGCTGATCTTCTGCATGCAAGAGAGATTCTTCCTCAGCCTTCCTCAAGGAAAGGGGGAAGAAGAGCTGTTGTTGATGCCTATGTGATGTCTGCAACTAGTGAAGTATTTTGGTTCTGCACAAGGCTTGTGCAGAACCAAAATACTTCCCACAATTGCTGTCCTCGTTAGATTTTCAAGCTTATTTTGCAGGCAGCAGAAACAGTGATACGGAGCTAATGGCATTATCAGGGAAATGACCCTCGAGGCCCGCTATGATTTTGCCATTCCCTTGTCCCATTGCTCTGAGTGTTTGAGACAGATATTTTTTTTTTTGGAAGAAGTGCCATGTGTGTTAATGCTGCTACAAGATGTTAGATAGAAGCCCTTTGCTGTCTTCTGTGCTGCAAGGGTCCCCCCTTTCTAGCAGACAGACTCTGGCTCTAGCATCATGGCTGGTTAAAGCCCAGTGGCATGCTACTTCCTACTCCTAAGTGGTGACCTACTGAGGTGGCCTCTTGTCAGGACAGTGTTCCTCTCCCTGGTGTGCACGCTTGTGCACGCTCTCTGTCACAATATTTACCCATGGTCTCCTCGCCCCCCCCTTTCCTCCCTACAGAGTGATAAATGGGATGTGGTAGAACAGCTACCCCATGAACAAGTGGGATTAAATTGTACACTCTCATTTTTTTATGAGACTGTGGGCTGTACTAGTCTCCCCCGCTAGCCCACCCTACTGCCCTCCTGCTTTACCCCTCCATATTTTAGGGAGGGGGGTGGAGAATTAGAGCCAATTAGCCACGTCATTAATTCTTCAATTTGACGGCTGATATAGCAGGGCCTGAAACACGCTGCTGACCTCGTATAATGGGAACTCTGCTCCTTAACATATTGACGATGGGAGAAGTTAATTAAAATTCCACAGAGAGAAGGTGTCGGCTAACCTATAAACCTGTCGCTTCTCAGAACAAATCGCAGCCATCCTAGAAGAGAGAGAGGATCAGAGCAGGAGGGCATGTGGTGGGGGAGGGCCAGGGCAAGGGGCAGGGGAGATGAATTTTTCACTAATAGGTTTTATTGCTTGGTGTCTAATGAGGGTGAATATCAAAAAGATAATATCTGGTTTCTACCAAGGTCTGCTTTGGGGAGCTCTGTAGTTTCTGTTTTATTTGCAAGAGCCCATATTTCACCTGTATGCATTCCCTATGCACTTGTGTGTGAAGCTTTTCCTCCCTTGCAGTCCCCATCTTTCTTGCCGGAGCTTGGATGCATTTGTTCCTCAGTGAGGCTGAACATGGCCTATAACCTCCACTTCCTCCTAAACATTTGATGTGCCCTCCTGATTGTCCCTTCTTGTGCTGGTGTAAACTGAGAGCTCCTCCCTAAGAACAGATAATTCTTCTGGTGTTGAATCGGGCTCCAACCACCTAAGTATTTTGATTCCATTGAGAACCCACCAGCTCTCTCTACTATGGACACATAGAGCTCTGGAACAACTCAAAGCAGTTGTGTAGGTGGGGTAGGAGCAGGGAGGGCTCCTCTAGCTCTAGCCACAGTTTCCTGACCTAGAGGTTTGCCAGGACTAAGACTCTCCAGAGCAGTCAGGGTTGTATTCTCACTGAACCTCAGCTTTTAATGGGCAGGACTGAAACTTCTGTTCTTGCTTTTCGGTGATATCTCTCTCTGTGTGAAGCTTCCTTAGAAAGTATCCCATGTGCACCTGACCCACTGCTGGGTATTCTGCTGTGTCTGCTGTAGTCCTGCTCTGCTGGACTGCTGCTCTAATGGACAGTGCCTGTGCAGCCAAACTAAACTTCAGAAAGTGCAGCTCCTCTGGCTTCAGGTATCTTTCTTGGGTATTCTGCTTCGATTTGTCCAGTTTCCCGGTGTCACTACAGAAATCCTCCTGCAGAGGTGCTGAGCTAGGGAGGAGGCTTCTTTGTTCTTTGTGTAGTGATGCTGGGCTGAATGCTTGGAGGGTCTGCGAACAGAATGATGCCTGTAACAGGCAGTAGAAGAGGAACAAGAGTACTGGATCTTCTCTTACTGTGCAGAGGAGAACTGTCCTTAGTCCTTTGTATAACCTTTTCAGCCATGGAAGTGCCTTCACATCCATGTGTGTTATTGGAGCTTCATTGCTTTGGGGATCCCTAACGGTGCACTGCAGTGTAATGGGGACGGGGAGGGCATTGTATTCTTTTGGGATTTTCAGCCAGTCTTCTGCATAGCTATGCTGGTCGGTGTGCTTGGGACAGCATGTCCCACATTGCATGTCACATCAGGGACTAGAGAAGAGTCTGAGAGTATCCTTAAAATAGGATACTCAAAATAAGGATGCCTCAGCTTGCTCTGGCAACTGGTTTAATTGGTCTCCAAAGCTGTCCTTCTCCATGGATTAGTAAAATGCTCTACTTACAGAAAGGCTGTGTACCCTAAACCACATTTCTTAGCTGCTTGTAGTCCCCTTCCCCCTGAGTTCATTTGCCTTTTGAACTCCGTGTCATGCAGATGTTAAACTTTCATTTACTGGTGCTTACTGCCATGACTTATGTGTGCTCAGGGACCAGGGCGAGCCTGAGTGCAGTGGACCAATTCAAATGTGCAGAGTGAGGCAAACCCAGGGGTTTCTAGTGGAGTAGTGGCACCTTCATGCTTTGTGATTCCCTGAGGTGGCAGTAGCCAGGGAAGAGAAGTGACCACTGTATACTGTTTAATTTGAGGGGTAGATTTATAAGAAAATGAGGTCCAATTGCCTGGCATTTATGACTGCAGAAACATGAGGCTTGTGATATACATTGTACTACTGAAATGCTCCTTTATTTGAGGGAACATTTGTTGCATTTTTTTTCCTAATGATAGGGAAGCTTGTAAACTGGAGGGGAAAGAAAAAAGTGGACCTTGATGTTAAATTCGTTATTAATCTTGAATTCAGAAATTCTTTGGCGTTGGATTAAAAAAAGTATTCACATCTAAACTGGCTTCTCCTGATGCATCTAGCCACTGGCATTTGCTATTCAGATTTTAAAATATTTATCATGAGAGCTGGTCTTTCCGTGTTGTACTCCAAATGTGTCGGATTTCAAACCAAGAAAAGAGATGATGGAAGAACTAAAATGTTTTTTAATGTGCAACTGTAGATAGAGATCTAGGAAACTTTTAGTGCAATTTGGGGCAACGTCAGGCAACTGTAATGTGCCCTAATGTGGCAGAGATGTGCTTTGGGGGTGTAAGCCCAAAAGACGGTCTCTCCTTTTCCAACTGTGTCATTGGTCTACTGCAGTACATGACCTCTCCTTGCAAACGTTGCCTTGGTGAAGAGCAGGTTTACTCTAGAGAGGAGGAAAGTTTGTACCAAAGACTAGCTATCTGCACTGAATGTTTAATTTAAAGGAAAACGAGTAGTTCTGTGAGCAGTTGAATTTAAAAAGCCAGGCTTGCTCTGTGTCTTCTGTTCATGCAGTGTTGTAGTTGAGACCTGAGTTCTCTATTTTAACATGCTAATTTGAATCTCTGTTAACCTAATTGCCTCTGCCATGGAATGTTATGGGGAAGTAATATTTGGGGAGACCTCTGCCCCTGTGAACAACCTCAGACAAATTGTAAAACATACCCAAAAACTTGCTGAGGGAAGGAAGGAAGAGAAGGGTTACTGACAGGTACCTTGACTGAATGGGCCTCTCTTCCTCTGGGAACAATCAAAATGATTCATTTTGAGGGCTTCTTTTTAACGGTTATCTGGAAACTTTTTGTGAAAGTGAAAGAATCTGATCTTGCAGATTGCATTAGAGCAAAATGACCCACTTGAGTCAGAGAAACTTTGCAGTGGTTTTAACTATATAATTGAAGCCCTAATGTACAGCAGTTAAAATGTTTGATAATGTTCCCCCCACCCTCATTTTTTGCTCCGCTTTTTATCAGCAGATACCTCCTACTGCATATCAAGATGAGCTGTTGGCTATAGTGGTGCTCTGTTTTGACCTAGCTTTGTGCATTTAACCTCTCCGAGTCTGCTAGGGCTTCGGACAAGTAACTGGGTTTTATTCTGGTTTGTGCATTGCCAGCAAAATAGCAGGCAGCAATAGCTCTGCTGTCCTTGGGGATCTTTGTGGAGCCTGGTTGGTTTGAATAATTGAGAGGGGACTCTGACCTGCAGCTGTTTCTTAAGCAGGAGCAGGAAGAACCTGCTCAACTGTGATATCCCAGGGTGGACTTGCAGAGTCAGTGGTGGCGTTAACTACCATCTCTTACTGACCTTGGAGAGTGATCTGGATGCGGGTTTCTAGATATAATGCAATAGTCATAACTGACTT